AAGAAAAATGTTCCCTCTCTCAGATTATTCCACTTGTAAAGGAAGATAAAAACGCACCATTTGTTGATGTGGCAAACTTTGAGCAGAAGGGAAAGTAATTTACGGTAAATTTCTACACTTTTTTCCTAAGGCAGATCTTCCACTACTTGGAAGAAGATAGGATAGAATGGTGGATGCATCTACTTAGACAGTATTCTGTGTCTAGAGAGGAGAACTCTGCCTGTGAGTTACTAAAATAGCTAAAGAGAAAATGGACACACTGTGCTTGAAGTTAACTGGATCACAATCAGAATGTTCTCTGTAAAACCTGGGATTTTAACAAAGTAAACCTTTTTTTCCCTACTGGTAAATTTGAATACTACATTTTTTAACAGTAGTCTGAAATGTTTCATTTCAAATCCACTAAATAACAGATGAAACAGAATTTCCATGTTGGTCAGTTTCCCTGTTAGGTTTATTATCAATCAGGAAATGGCCAGATTCTCAGATCTTCTCCTTATAAAGATTTATTATGTAAGAATTAAGCTAAGCCCACATCAGAATTGAGAAGAGACAAGCATGAGACAATTAATGAAGTGGAGAACATCTTCAGGAACCTGATGTCTCCGCATCATTCCTAAGTCAAAAATGTACGCCGGAATCTGGGGTTTCCTGGGATTCCATGAGTCTAGGATTCCATGGCTGAAGGACTCAAGGATTCCATGGCTTTATGACCCTAGGACTCAAGGACTGTCTCCAAAGCAAGGAGGGGAGGTTGGTGTTGGAGGGAGCTGCCACAGTGCAGGGGCACCCACTGCTGAGAGGCACCTGCTGGGAAGTGACCTCCCACCATTCCCTCAGGCTCAGCCAAGGTCTCTCCAACATCATACACACAGAGCAGAGGGAGAGCCTGACTTAAACTCCCTCTTTTGAGATTGAAAACCTATTGGAACAAGCCAGAGTGTGTAAGTCCTGTAGCAGCAGTTCCCGCACAGCACTTGGCAGCTCTGTCCTTGCAAGCAGAAGGGCCTTCTGTCCCTAAGCAGGCCTGAACCTCCCTGGGGCCTGGCAGTGCAGGCCCTGAGGGCCAACACACCGTGCCTTGGATCCGAGAGTGCAGATCCAGCCCTTTGGGGTGTCTTGCTCCTGTGCTGGGCACCCTGTGCTGCTGCTGCTGCTGCTGCTGGCAGTGTGGTGGCAGTGGCTGAGCAGAGGCACCAGCAGCCCTGCAGGCTGTGGGGCACTGGGGGGTCAGGGCAGAGCCCACTGGCCCAGTTTGGGCTAATAGTTGAGGATGGAAATGGAGAAGAGAAACTGTGCACATGGTCTGCTCAGAGCAGGCCTGTGGGAAGGAGGGAGGGCTGACACACCCCCTGCCCAGTGCTGCCAAGGGAAGGGCTTTGGGGGAGCCAGGAGGCCTAGATGGAATCCTGAGCCCTTCAAGGACCCAGCTGCCAGGCTGGGCTCAGCTCACGCCAGCAGGATTTCATCAGGCTTTGGTTCAAGACTGCTGGAAGATTTGAAGTGGTGAGAACGTCTGGAAACCAGGGTGGTGCATTCCTGCTCCCCAGCCCATTTGTGCTCAGCTGGACAACATCTCCCTCGTCTGCCTGCAACCAGCTTGTTGGGCCTGTCCTCTCCCCCTCCTGGCTGGGGGACTTTGCTTTGTTTCCCCTTTCATCTAACATGCTGAGCTTCTCCTTAAACGGGGTTGTTCATCTTTTGCCACTCTCTATTTCACATCTTCCTCATCTGCATCCTCACCATCTGCTGATCGAGTCTCTTTGGGCAGCTGGGTTTTGAACTTGCAGCAACAGGTGTGCACTTAGGAGCACTTACAGACTCCAGCATTTTCGTCAGGGCTAGAAAGGGTGCCAAAGCTTTTCTTGCAGTGGGAAGCTTCTTTCCTTTCCTTTCCTGAGGAAATCTAATCTGTGTCTTGGGTCATTGCCCCTTTTTTGGTCTTTCAAGGAAGGATCTGCCATGGCTGCGGGAATCTTCCGGATGTACCTCATGCTGATGGCAGTTGTTGGTGTCAACAAGCCTTTGCACTCCTCTGAGAAGAATGGAGTTGTTGCTGAGAATGGGGAAGAAACCCTCCAGAGGATGAAGGAACAGGAAGTGAGCCTTCGGCTGCACCAGTTGCACTTAGAACAGGAAATTGCAGACCTGGAAGCCAAACAGAAGGCTCTGGAAATGCGGGACTTGGAACTGGAGAGAAAGATCCAGCAGCATATGTTCACTGTCCTTTCCTTGGTGATCCTGACACTGATCAGCCTCTGGAGGCAGAATTAACAGGATGTAACGTCAGCACAGTGGAGAAGAAGCTTACATGGTGGTCCTGGGGAAAGCATGGGAAAGAGTAGCCTTCCCTGACAAGGCCTTTTGTGCTATTCAGGGACATTTACAAACTCTGAGGAAGAGTTAACAACTGCAGGGAGTGTGAGCAACCAGGAATGTGGAGAACAGGGTAGGTAAACAGAGTGCGGCACATCAGAAGTTTGTGGTGCTGCAGTTTGGGAGGCATTTCACGCAGGCAGGGCAAGTGGGAATGGCTCTGAGTCACTGCAACACAGCCAGTGGGCTCATTTGCTGGTCTTTACATTCACTGAGAGAGCTCAAATATGATATCTGCTCAGCACAGAGCCAAGCTGTCTAAGCTCACCAAAAACTATGCAGTGACCCAGAGAGAGCTCCCAAAAACCCATGCAAAACATGGAAAAAAACCGTGCATCTGTCCAGGCTTCAGGCTGTAGGGAATGTGTAACCCTCTCAAGGGATTGTAGCAGTGATGGTAGTTGCATCAGATGTTTCCATGTGGGTTGGCTGCTCAGCCTGGTAGCAGAGTTATGAGATGAAGTAGAAAGGCTGAGAAGCATTGGAGAATCTGAGTGGGAGATAAACTGGTTGGACCATGCTCTGGCCTCCCTAAGACATGAATATCCACTGGAAATATTTAAGCTCAAGGGGATCCTCTATCCATCCCCCAGCAAGGAGCAGGTACCAGTTTTGAAGCAAGAAGTAAATGAAGGGTAATCCATACTCGAGGAGGCAAGTGAAATCCTTCTTCACCCACCACACTCCCCCAGGTACCTCTGCAGAATAGAATTGTATGTGGAAGACTGTAAGATTTGTGCTTTATTTTTTACGAGAAAGAGAAATGCAGGATTTTCCTCTCTTTTGGCCCATCTTATCTTTGCAGGTGTGAAGGAAGGCCATGCTTCCATTTGTGAAGATGCTGAACATAAGAAAACCAGTCTGTAACATCAACTGAAGGTTTAAACACAAATAAACCAGGTTCAGTAATTACAAGCAAAAAGAAAAGCCCACAGCATATCTGCATTTCAAACCTCCTGTCAAAACAAAGACTATACTATCCCTTTCTCCATTAGGCTTTGCTCATGATGACAGTGTGTTTTGTCATAAAACATTTCAGGCAAAACCATTTTCAGAAAACAGTCCAGTATTTCTCATCTGAAAATGGGAATTCTGAGCCAACTCACTCTAAAATATATTTCTATGGAATAACTGCAGTGGAATAGCTGTAGGGTTCAAGGTGATTACCATGGATACCTGTGGATTGTAACAGAAGCAGTACATGTGAACCATCCATTTAAAATGTGATAAGGAAATGTAGTATGTTCCATTAGACCTTGAAATAGAAAGTCAATTCCACTCTGGTTTCAGTGGGCTGTGTGGCTCTCATGATTCTTTAGAGGAGGCTTGGAATATATTTGTCCAAGGGAAAGAGGCAAGGATCAAGAATTTGAAGGACTGAATAAGAATAGCCCACATTAGAATTGAGAAGAGGCAAGCAATTGACTGAAACACTCGAGACAATTCATGAAGTGGTGAATATTCTCAAGAACCTGATGTCATCTCAAAGTCAGAAATCAACACCAGACTCTGTGGTTTCCGAGGATTCCAGTATTCCATGACTCTAGGATTCCATGGCTTTATGACCCTAGGACTCAAGGACTGTCTCCAAGGCAAGGAGGGGAGGTTGGTGTTGGAGGGAGCTGCCACAGTGCAGGTGCACCCACTGCTGAGAGGCACCTGCTGGGAAGTGACCTCCCACCATTCCCTCAGGTTCAGCCAAGGTCTCTCCAACATCGTACACACGGAGCAGAGGGAGAGCCTGACTTAAACTCTCTCTTTTGAGATTGAAAACCTATTGGAACAAGCCAGAGTGTGTAAGTTGCCACACAGCACTTTGTAGCTCTGTCCTTGCAAGCAGAAGGGCCTTCTGTCTCTAAGCAGGCCTGAACCTCCCTGGAGCCCGGCAATGCAGGTCCTGAGGCACCACCACACACTGTGTGAGTGCACATCCAGCCCTTTGGACTTTGGGATTTCTTGCTCCTGTGCTGGGCACCCTGTGCTGCTGCTGCTGCTGGCAGTGTGGTGGCAGTGGCTGAGCAGAGGCACCAGCAGCCCTGCAGGCTGTGGGGCACTGGGGGGTCAGGGCAGAGCCCACATGCCACAGTAAGACAGACTAATCCAGTGTAATCAACTTTTCTGATCTGTGACAGGATCAACTTTGCAGAAGGAGGGGGGGGAGCAGAGCAGAGATTCTCCTACAGCCCGCGGTGCAGACCATGGGGAGGCAGCTGAGTCTGTTTTGTCTGCGATGATAGTTGGTGAAGAATCCCCGTCCTTATCTCAACTCATGAGGCTTTCCTTGTATTTTCTCTCCCCTGTCCAGTTGCAGAGGGGTGGGATCGAGTACCTTTGATGAGTGCCTTGCATCCAGCCAGGGTCAGCCTACCACAGAAAACTACTCGACCCTACAGATCCATTTCATGTTCAAGGCCGTGTATTTCTTTATGCATAACTTAAGAAGTGAATTAACATATAGATTAAGGTTTAGATCAATAAAGATTCATCATTCTCTGGCATTTAAGGGTTTTGAGGCAGAATTGCTACTGAACATAAAATGATAGCTCTTCTTGAAACATTTTAGGTGAGATGACCTAGCGGAGTTACAGTCCAGTGTCTCAGTGTTTCACACCACTAGTTGTTTAGTAATGCTTTGGCCCTTGTGCTGCTTAAGGAGCTGACAACCATTATATTGTGTGAAACTTTTAACTTGCATTCTAAACCCTGATACTCTATGCATATGAACAGACTATAGCTGGGCTTTTCAGGGCTTTACTTCTAGGTTTAGGAAAGGAAAACCAGCTGTCACTGTAGCTCTGCAGCCCCAAATGCAGCTCCCCAAAGATGCAAATCACAGTGCCTGTTCTTGTTTACCCTGTTGAAAAATGTAAATATGAATCCCCTTCTACTGTTTTCTCTGTCAATGTTCCTACACAGAAGGCAAACTTGGCAGCTGTATGACCCAGATACCAAGTTCTGGAATATTTTCCACTTGTGGAATCTGCATGTTAGTTGCTCATTTAAACAAGAACATTTTCTGTTACCTAAATTTTAACTGAACTGTTCAGTGCAGGTTTGTAATTATGATCATCCAGTGTTTTTCTTTAGTAGTAGTTGCAGCCATAAATTATTATACTGAGTGTAGAATTTCATAATGACTCAAAAAACTTCTCAGTAAGCAGGTTGTATTAGAGACAGATGCTATGCAAGACGGTCTGCAGGATGCTCTTTTAGTTTCAGTCAAAAGAAAGGGGTATGATGTTGGCATGCTACCTATTTAAATGGCACCTTGAACAGTTTCTGGCATCACTAATGAGGGTTGTACTGTGCATTGCACTGGAACTGAGTCAAGTGATCGGATCTGCAGTACTCATAAACCAGACCTGATGGAACTCTTGAATCCCTAAATCTTAAAATATCCATGGTGAACTGGGTCTTGTTTCTTGTTTAAATCTATGCCTTATGTGGAGCACCTCCCTTGCTGTTTACTTTCATGCCAGGAAGGACTTCCCCCTCAGTACATATATAAACAAGTAATGGGAAGGTCAGTGTTTTCATGAACTATTCGCTGTGGCAGGCACAGTGATTTAAAGCTGTGTAATGTTTTTACCAGTAGGTTTCTTGCATTGTTAAGGAGAAAAGGAAATGAAGGAAAGAGAGTACCTGAATAAGTATAAATTGATGTCTAGCAGAGACATGCTGCTGGCAGTGCTGATGTTAAAAGCCAGAAAGCATGTTACATTTCATGTAAATAAAGCAGCTTATTACATAGTGAAATGTTAATGTATTTAGTTAATATAGTTAATTGAAGAAATAGTGTTTTATTTTAGATAAAGTGCCCATCTTTTTTCTAAAAAATTTCATGTGTTACCTAATTGTTGCTGGTTGGAAGTGGGAGATTTAGCTATTCATAAACTCAGGGCAATTCTCATTCAGCCCAACAAAACATAGGACCATGTCATTAAGGTCATACCTGTCTTGTACCTCTACAGCATTACTGAGGTGCTTTGTGTTTCCTTTGATGTAAAAGATCCCTTATTTGTTAGTAATTCTGTTGATGTAACAGTTCTTGTGGTTCAGGTGAATCCCCTGAGATGACACAGGAAAGTGCAGTTTATCAGAAGCAGAGTAAAATCTTGCTGTGAAGTAGGTCAGGTAAGAGCAAGGTGGAAGTGGTGCAAAGTAAAATGGAACTGGAAAACAATGTCTATCTCAAAATAAAGCAGGGTTTCATATCAGAGGCCTGACATGCTTAGACCTAGAACTTAGTTTAGGTTTAAATATGGTAATAAAAGAAAATGTGAGTTGTGGATACATTGTGGCCAGTGTTTTGTCTTTTTTTCCGTACTTTTTTAGTAAAAAATTCTTTGTTCTTAGAATAAAAGCGAGAGATGTTCTAGGCCTGGTCTGTAATTTGAAAAGGGCAGGGAAAGCAGACATTATTCATGTGGACTTCATTAATAAATGACAACAGTAGTATCTGATCTGTAACAAACAGTGAAATAAATCAGTGCATTGGGACTGTAGCTCTAGACTGGGGCACTCAAAAATTAAAGTGTAGGTATCTGGGAGGACTGTTAGTGGTGGACAGCAAAATGTTGATAGAATCCCTTCTGCCAAGAAACCTTGACATTTTCTGAACTTAAAATAGGTGAGAGTAAGGATGAATGTGTGTGACTCAGGTCCACCTTTGACAGAAAATCTCTAATCTTGATAATGAACTGAAAACTGTTTTAAGAATGCTGACACAGGACTAAATTGTTGTACTAGATCTGAGCGGAGAAAATGACAAAACTAACCACGTTAAAAAATATTGTGTGGGCTGTCACATATCAGACCCCAACGGCTCTTAAACCTGTAAATACATTACCTTTGTTCCAGCAACTTGGATCCAGACATTTTAGAAAACAGCTCTGTGCAGTGACAGAAATATTCAAAGTAAGCTGAGAGCAGTTCTGTTCTGCTCCTTCTGTATCTAGTGAGAGAAATTAACAGATAAGTCAGAGGTGAAAAACACCTGCTAGGTCATATATTCAGTTCTCTCAAGACAAAAAATACAAGAATATTTATTACTGATGTAAAACTATTTTTGACTTTGTAGCAGAGCTTGTCATCACAGTAAGATCTACCAGTCAGATACTTGATGCACTGGAACATCTTGCCCAGAGAAATAGTGGGTGCCCCATCCCTGGAAGTGTTCAAGGTCACATTTGGAATTGGCTTTGAGCAACCTGATCCAGTGGAAGATGTCTCTGCCCATGGCAGAGTGGGTAGAACTGGATGAAAAGGTCCCTTTTGACCCTAACCATTCTATGATTCCATGATAATCTGTATTTTTGGCTGTTTACGTTAAATAGTATATTAACTTTTGTTAATGAAGTGGAGAGACTGCTCAAATGTTTTTCTAATATTTGCAAAGTAATTTCAAAGGTCAGTGGTAACAGTTTGCTTAGATGTTCAGTGAGGCAAAACCAGTCCTGAACCACCCTTTCTTTAGAGATAGTTGTCTTCTGTAAGTTGACATCTTCTCTAGGACCAAAGACTCATTCAGATATGCTTGGTCACCAGTAGGCCCTTCTCTGGCAACAATAAAGTTCGAAGGAAATACCAAAAGATCTCAGTTTCAAGGGTGGATTGTACTAAAGGGTTTTGATTCATTTTTTCCAGAATAAAGCTGGAGTTTCACTCTACCTTTCTAATCCCTCCTTCTGTTTCATTCCACCTCTCTTCCCCACACCAGAAAGGAAAGGAAATAATACAACTGTGCTTCCAAGAAAACTATTTTCCAACCATCCAAGTACCACCCTGTGCTACACTGTAATAGTCACATATAATTATAATCTGGCTGCACTGATGAAAGGGTAATTTTACATTGCTAAGTCTGTCATTTATCATGCTCCTTCAAATGTTAATTTTTATAGCACTCAGAAATGTGCTAGATACTTCACAGATATGTATGGGATTAAATGGTAATGTAGATAGCCTGAAGCATTTAGGTTTAAACAATTATGCTATATGTGCACAAAGTTCACAAGAACAGTTTCTGTGATTAGGAGGAAATGAGAAAAATAAAGTATTTTATTTTGCAGTGTTTAATTTTGGGCAATTTGTAAAGTTCAGATTATTCTTTCTGGGGAAAGTAGATGAAATTTATGTTTTTTTTTTGTTGTTTTTTTTTTTTTTTTGCTAAAAACCTGTGACATATCTTTCACTTATTACTCATTGCAGTAACAAATTGAATTTAATCAAAAATAATGAATTTATGTTATTAAATACAGAAGCGTAAAAATGCAGTAAAATAAAAGCTGTTGTCTTTCAGAGGCAACATAATAGAGTAGACAGGATGTTGGAGGATCAGACTTTTATAACCTTTAAAAATGTAAAGTTTGGGTCAAGTCTCTGAGAATCATGGGCTAACATAAGGAAGAGACGTGCAGAATGATCTTTATAGGAGGATTCACAATTTCCTTGCTTATGCGTCATGTATTACTTATGGAGAGG